TGCTGGTTCCTGTAGAATTAATCTTTGCTTTCAAAGGCCTCCTGTAAGAGGGAGATGTGGCAGAAAAATCCATGTAAACAGGGTGACTCTAGGGATGCTGGAAACCAGCTGGTCTTTGCAGTAGAGGTGCAGGGAGATGAAGCATACAGTGGATGCATAAGTTAGGATCCCCTCCCAGAAAAAAAGATTTTGCTCCAAAAGTACCTGATGTAATTTTTTACTTGCTGTAGCAAATGCATTTTTGCAAATTGTTGCAAGAAATGTGTTTCCTTCAATTCGTTTCGAATTTCTGAATTTAGGTGACATTTTCTAGGTGTTAACATACCATTAACCATGCAAAATAATGCCTCTCCTTGTAACACTGCATAATGCAATAACATCAAAAATGTTTTTAAAAGCCATCTTTGGAATCACGTTGGAAATGCCTTTTTTTTTTTTTTTCATGTAGCCCAGGAAAGGTGGTTATGGCACAAAAAATCATTTTCATTGTTGCTAGTCCCATCTTTCTTCTTCATTGTAAGACGGTCAGAAAGAAATGAACAGTGACTTACAGCATATCCTTGTCTAGCTTTTCTTTTTATTTTCCCTTCTTTACTGGGAGTCCTGTATGCAGCTGGAGAAACAAAAACACTGGGAATAATCAGTATAAAACTCTTGATATATTTTAGAAGACAGCTAGAGGTAGCCTGATAAATGACCTGTACTTTGGCAGGTCAGGTGGAGTGTGACCAACCTAATGACCACTGTCCTATGAATCACAGTGAATAGTAACAAACACTTAGAAATTGCCATTCTTTTAAGAACTGGAAAACTCACCTAGATGTAACAGTTCACAAGATTCCACATTGTTCCTTTCCATCTGTGTTTCGTCAAGAATCAGCACCAATAGCATTTAATGATTTTGTGACTTGTATTCCCAGGTTTCGAAAGGTTGATGCTATCAGTTTTTTCCTTGAAGGATTTAGTGGTCACAAAAATTAGACAAAGAGCTGAAATGACTTAAGGTCACTCAGCAGGTCAGTGTCAGAGTTGGGCAGAGAACCTCCTCCTTGCATCCCAGGGCTGGCTGCTGACCCGGGCACTCCACAGAGCCTCGTTACAGTGGTGCATTTAATCAGCTTCACTCTGTGTTGTAACTCATTGTGGTGTTATGGATATCTAAAGGGTAGGATTTTAACTTCACAATCTGCTGTTATTGAATTAGTTTTATGTTGTGTTAATTTCTTTGTCTCATGGCATTCATTGCCTGTGATAATTGATGCACAATATATTACCGACTTCTGTATTCATTTGGGTAACTGTATTTAATTGCCTGGTATAAAATATGTGCACTAAGTACAATCTGCTATGACTGCTATGACTGAGAAGTGCTCATTGGTATGGACTTGAGGGTGCTTTATCTTCCTGACAACCTGTCTGAGGGAAGCCTAAATGTCTCTTGCAATTCACCATCCAAGGACCGGTACTTGCATCATGTCTGCAAAAAGAGAGACCACCAAAAAAGTACAATGTGAAATGGCTTTACAAAATGTTTGGCATCAAAATTTTGTTAATCAGAAGTTCTCAGATCAGGAAGTTTTTATTAACGTCCCTGCCTCTCCCAAAGATCAAGGAATAACAGGGCCCAGAATATTTTATACATTTTCTCCTGTAAATCAGGATTATGGCTTTATTTGCTTCTGAAGTTACTCCCCTGGAGTAGAGCTACTCCGTGCACAAGTGTTTATAAAAACAGATTTCTTTTACATATATCTTCAGGTCATTACTGCCCGGAGGAGTATTAGTGAATTGTAAATCAGGAATGCTCTCTAAAGGTGTGATGTCAGTGAAATGGTGTTGGTTAATGTCTGCTCAGGTTACACAAGATCCCTGCATAAGCTTACACTTTCTTGACTGCTTAACCAGTAACAGTGATTCAATTTATTATTAAGAAAGCAAGAATCTTTGCTAATAGATGTATTTCTCATCAAATTTAGGATCTTTCTTTTTACATGACTTAGGCAGTGAGTTTGTTTGTTTTCCTTGCTTGTTTTATTTCCAGTGTCATGAAGAGTATAATAGTGCAGTGTCTGAGCTACACAAAGGAATGCTGAAATTTGCCCAAAGCTGATTTTATTTTAAGCATTAATGAAACTTTCTCTATACAAATTTTCAGAAGTTTTTAAACAAAAGCTAATGTTTGAGTCTAAATCAGGTATGTAATGCCTGCGAGACTATTTTAGCCATATTATGCTGCTTTGTCTTAATGTAACCACTGAGTTGTCACTAGAAGGGATGTTCACAATTAGTATTTTTCTTTTTAAAAGAGCTAGTTTCTACAGCCTGTGTCCTTCAGGATGGAGCATTAGTTCTGCCTACAGCTTACTGCAAATTATTCAGTGTTCATAGGTTCGTTTATGCTTGTTATTCAGCTCTCTTCCACTGACAAAATAGCCTGCAGCAGTCCTTGGTTAGATAGAACTAGTTCCACTTTAGGCTCCTCACGTTCTCTTTTATGGCTTTTCCCCTGGTTCACCCTGCACTGCATCCAGGCACTTTTGATGAAACAGTAGATCTGGTGGTCAGAGAGAAAGCAAAGCTGCCCAGAGCCAGGGTGGGCTACAAGAGTGTGTTTTGAGCAAAGACTTCCTTGGCATATTGGGCAGACCTGGTGGTACAGTACACCATGAGTTTCACCAGTTCAGCCTACTGATTCTGCTTTCGTTCATCTTCATGGTGTTATATTCTTCTTCCTCTGCAAGGACTTTAACAAATACTTGTAGATAATTCGTCAAAGTATATCAAAATTTGAAATATGTGAAGATGTCAGAAGGAAAACACCAAAAAGTCATTCCCAGTAGACTGAGGTCTGATCCTGCATTTCTGGCAGAACTGGGGCAGCTGCAGTGTGGGCTTGGGCAGAAGAGTGTGTAGCCTTCAGCAGCAGAGCTGTCACCTGGTACACACTTCACCAAACAGTAAAACGTGGGCGGGGCGTTGGCAGAGAGAGTCCAACACCCATTTTCTTCCTCTTATCCCAGCAATCCATGCCTATCTGAGATGCTTTTGCCCCAAAGCCATGGGGCAGTACCTCCTTCCTCCCCGTTAGGTGTGGTGATGCATTATGGGGAAAAGCAAGTAGGACACAGCAAGGTATGAAGAGGCATTTCATCCCTGTTGGTTTTTAAATGCTCCTTTCTTCATCAAGGCAACAAGGCTGCTGGCCAGGGGAAGAGGTGAACCTCTCTCATCTGGGCTATTCAGCATATATTTGTAAATTGGGATTGATTTGGCAGTGATTCATAAAGAGCAAGGAGGGCTGTACTGAGTAAGAAATAACTTATTGACAGGGAATAATTCAGCCAGCCCTAACCTCAAAACAGATGTTTGTGGTCAGAAGTTTATAGCCTCAGTGGAAAGGGCTAAGTACAAGCTTAAAGAGCTGAACAGGAGACACCCACTTTTTGAAAACTTGACATAAATCTTGGCTGCCTTGCCTTATGTTAGTCACATTCCCTGCAGAGGACTTCCATTCAGTGTTTGTTTGCTGTTTATAGATGTTATTTAAAAGCTAATTTCATGATAAAAATATTTTATGTTATGTATAATGAATAGTGGGGATCAAATAAGAATTGGAATTGCAAATTCAAATATTAAGGGTTGATAAATATTGACTTTTAAATAGAAACACTGTAATTTGAGCAAAATGCTTTTTAGCCTAGTATACTGTTATTTGTAAATTACAACATACAAAAAAATGTAGACCATTGTCTAAGCCTGACTCTTCACTTTTACAGCCATTGATTTTGTCATGTTCCTATGAAATGATGTGTACAGTGTCATGGAACTAAAACATAAAACTTTCTGGTTCATACTCTATGCACATGAAATGAAAAAAAAAAAAAAGTGTGGGAGGTACTTATCTAAAATATAGTGTAATTATGTTAATTGTGTCTTTTCTAAAGACGATTCCTCAGGGTCTGCATCTTGGAAACCTCCTAATTCTGGTCTTTCAAGTAGTTTCTTAAAGTCAGCACAGCTATTCTAGGGCTGAACAAGTCACCAAGATTCACCTGCATAGTGCTAATAACCTCCCTGAACACTTGTAAGCTGGCCCCTGGTACCCAACACCCTGGATCAGACCCCTTAGGCTACTGGACAGCTAAAAAAATGTACATGGCCCTCCTTAACCCACAGTCCCTTGTACCTGGTGCACAAAGAATAGCTTGGGCTTCTGTAGGTGATCATCCTCAGCCTGGTGTTTTCTGCCCCTGTGGGGAGTGCTGGGAGCTCACAGACTTTGCTCACACCTCTCACAGACTTTGCTCACACCTCTCACGTGTCACCTGTTCAGCCTGCTTTCTGATGAGCGATGCTCTGACGCGGTGAGCCTCCCCAGCAACGACAGCAACAGCAAGAAGTTGCCCTTATGTAAAATTCATGGTCTGACAGACACCTGATGAGAGCAATGTGTTTTAGCTAGGAACAGATACTGCACTTTTGTTTTGAGCTATAACTTCTGTGGGTGCAGTGTTAGTTAAGGAGCAGTCATCTTCCTCAGCTTTCTTGGGTTTTCTTTGCCACATCTCTGCAAGCTCCATTCTGTAAGTCATTGCATAGTATTTTCTTTCCTCTTTCCATCTCAGAGCAGACAACTATTTCCTTGGAACTTGCAACACCAGTTAATTGTTAACAGTTAAAAAAAAAATCATATTCATCCCTTAATATGTTCTTTCAGGCGATGCCTTCATGCCGAGGAGGCTGTGTAGCTACTGATAAGACCTAATTTGTGAAGGGCTTTTCAGCTGCCTGACAGGTTCATACGTGGTACTGTTTGTTCAGCAGGTGAGGAGGAGCATTTGCTGGAGTGCCTCTACGGAGGCTGTGAAATGTGTGCACAGAGGCTGGGGCTGCTGATCTGGAGGGAGTGGGCAGGAGCTTCGAGTGCCTCCCAAAGAAGTCAGTACGTTATTGTGTTCTGACTCTGGCACTTAGAGTTATTTCCATCTTTTCTCTTTCAGAGCCTAATGAGCTGTGTGAGGGCCCTGTGCTTGGTGATATCCCATCTCAAGATGCTGCTAATACAGTAGCTAATTATTCCTAACTGAAGAAGTCGAACAGAAGAAAAAGGATCCAGGGAAAAGCAATGGCTGCCGGTAAATATCTCAGGTCTTTAAAGGCCATAAGAAAATAACTGGAAAGAGCTGATTTCAGGTGTGACTGGGGAGGGGGGAAGCAAAAATGTATGATCACATCTTGTGTCTGGTGTTTCAGTATCAAGTATATTCAGTTTTCAGTTTAGGTGCCATCCCTTAACTAACCCACCCACTCTCCCCCATCGAAGGAAGATCCATATGTGGGCTCAGTCTGTTTTGACCATACTGATTATATTTCTCTTTTGGTTTCAGAACAAAACTTGTTATTTGCTGTAGTGAATGGAATTTGTTTGTTCTCCTTTTAGTTAGGGAATAATAACCTCCCTTATATAAAATAATAACCTTTTACAAAATAAAAAATTGCACCTTATGGAAAACAGTTCTTTTCTGTTTGTGTGTTTGGTTCTCACACGTTTCAGGCAAGTTCCACAACTATCGTTAAGTTCTATCAGAGTGTTGTAGGGCAATTTATTCAGGTTGGGAGAGGCCTCAGAAGGTCTCCAATCCAACCTCCTGTTTAAAGCAGGGCCAGAGCTAGGGTCAGATCAGCTGTTCAGGGATTTATGAAATTGAGTCTTGAAAGCTGTCGGGGATGGTGACTGCACAGCCTGTTCTACTTCTTGACTATCCTCATGGTGAAATAGTTTTCTCTTTTCCTCGTACCATTTACATCTGTTGAATGTTTCCAATGTCTTTATACTCTATTATACAATATCAAGAACTATTATCAGTAATGTAAAGGTGAATCATAATCAAGAAACAAAACAAACCCCAAATAAAGAGTGTTTGTGATACCTCATTCTCATTGAAAGATTTGGTTAAAAATTGTGGTTTACTGGCTTTTCTACTTAGAGCATGTTTACTTTCTTGCAGCAGCTGACGGTTTGGGAAGTATAGCTATAGATACCACACAGCTTAACATGTCAGTCACTGATCCCACAGCTTGGGCTACGGCTATGAATAATCTGGGGATGGTTCCAGTAGGACTAGCAGGACAACAGCTTGTGACAGGTAAGATTTTTCTTTTTTAAAAAACACTGCTTGCACCAGTCATGAATTCTTCGTGTCCTTTGAAAAATGTATGGAATGTTTTCTGAGGATGTTATATTTTTATGTTCTGAAAACATCACCTATGATTAATATTGCATACTGTGTATTAGTCTCTTCTTGTAGTAGGTATGTAATCCATATTATATTTTAACCTTGTGAAAAACTAAAACTCTGAGGGGAAATTGAACAGCTAAACCATCAATCTTCATGCTGGGTCAAGACTAGGAGGCAAGTCATGTTAGAGGAACATTTGTTTTTGTTTCTCTGTTCAAGCAGGATGTCTTGAGGTTCTGCCAAGGAATACCCTGGGCTGAGAACTCTTGACTGGAGGTTTTGGAGTTGTGTTAATTGGGCAGAAAATCATGAAGCCTGTCCAGCTCATATGCTCAGTTGATATTAGTGAAGTGAAGCTTTCCTGTCAGGTGTGTGCTTATTTACTTTGTGATTGGTTCCATAAAATTGAATGTCAAGAGATTGTTCTTGTTAGACTTTGTCATTTACTGCCCAATCATAGTTTGGGAGAGTGTTGCAAGGGATCACTTATTGTAACACCCACAAAAACATTTTTTTGAAACCAGCAATATTTTACAGATAAAACTGGACATAGCAGACTTTGTTGTCAATAGTAGACACCCAATTAGTTGGAAACATTAAAACTCCTTTATTCCTGTGATGTAGAGAAGAATTATTTATATATGGGTAGGTGCCCTGTAGACACAAGCCACGTGCTAGGCATATGACAGACTCCCTCTGGAAGCTGCACTGCCACTTCAGCTTAAAAAGAGCTGTGTAATATCTGTATCAGAGCAGCATGCTGCCATGTCTGCGCCTTTCCACGTAGACAGGGATGCAGTGAGCCAGGTCATGATGTAAATCACTCTGCTTGCCTCACTGGGGATGCCTGATGATTAATTTTGGCCAAATATGCCCCCTTCTGACACTGGGAACTGAGTGGAGTTGTGCCAGTTCACAGCTGATGGTCTGGCTCCGAATTACCTGTTTTACGGGCTGTACACTAAGCTGTAGGAAAGCTGATTTCTAACAAATCAGTCTCAAGCAGAGAGCTGAGCTGGTGGAGGCTGTGAACTGATTGGTGATCTCTAGCTTTAACCCCATGCTCCTGATTAAAAGAAACAAGCAAAGCCATCCGCTCCTTGGGATCCAATTCTCTTCAATGGTTCTGTCAACAACTTGGATGCAGAAGCTGAGTCCACACTAAGTTTACTGATGATACTAAATAAAAGAGAAGCTGTTGATTCTCTAGTGGGTAGATTGGCCTAACAGGGAGTCTGGATAGATTACAGGGCTGGCCAATCACCAATTGTGTGATGTTTAATCAGGACAAATGCCACATTCTGCACCTGGGACTATGTAATCCTGGATATATGAGTGGACTGGGAGAGAAGAGGCTGGAATGCAGCCCTGCAGAAAGAATCTGCTGGGTTTTCTTGATGGGAAGCTCAGAATAATGTGTCCTGGTGGCCAAAAAGGCCAGTCTGGATTGCATTAGGTGCAATGTAATTAACCACTCAAAAGAAAAAAGTGTTTATCCCACTTTTCTCAGCATTGGTGCAGCCTCACCATGAGAGCTGTGTGGTAAATATGAAAGTATGACAGTGATAAGTGTGTTCAAGAGAAGGCAACAAAGATGATGAAAGGGACTAGAGGGCAAGGCTTGTGAGGAGCAGCTGTGGATACTGGGTTTGCTCAACTTAGAGAAGAGGAGGCTCAGGAGCTGCTGTCTACAACATCCTAATGAAGGTGAGTGCAGAGGGTGATGCTGATCTTTTCTCTTTGGTGTCCAGTGATACGATGTGAGGGAATGACTTAAAGCTGCATCAAGGGTTGTTCAGATTTGTTATTTGGAAGAAGTTCTTCTCTGTGAGGGTCGTAAAGCACTGGAGCAAGCTACTCATGGATGTGGTCATGACCTGTTGTTCAAGTGTCTCAATGCTATAATTTTTACCTTGTGGAGTTAGGAGCTGGACTTGATCATTGTTGAGTCTCTTCCAACTCAGAATATTTAATGATTCTATGTGTTGATGGGGAAACAACTTTTTTTCCATTTTTCAGTGGGGATTTGCCTGCAGATGTTGTGTTCAACTTGAACACGATTACCTCCAACCTGAAGATAGTCACGTGTCAAAATCAGCTTCTGCTGCTTTCATTTACAATCATCTTAGTTGCATGTGCTGTGGAAGTTTGCCCTGCCTTTTTGTCTTGCTCTATTCTGTCTCTGCAGCTTCGGTGCAAATTTTGTCCTCAGATGTGCTGTGCAATCCCTACATGGCAGCCCCATCTCAGGTGCAGTGCTTCTCCCCACAAGGGAGGATCTCCAGTATCTTATACCATTGACAGCCCCCTGCTGTGATTTCCATAATTATGTGTATCACGTATTGTAAAGATGTTGTACAAGTCAGTTCATGTTTGTTCAGCATTTTCAATGTACGAAAGGTGCCATAAGTAATAAATATTAATTACTGAAGTGCTGCCTGATTTCTCTACAGGTGCTGAATAACTTCTTTTCTTTCCTTTCCTTTTGTTTTTCTTTGTTTTAGACTCCTTTGTATTTTCAAGGTAAATAGGTGCTTTGACGCTTCATTTTATTTCCTGAAGATTCATAAGTTTTTGACACATTTTCTTTATGGCAGATCCATAATAGCAAAACTTCAGTTTGCAATGGAATTACTTATAGATTTATTTGGTCTAATATATTTACTGTATCTGTGTTCAGTGAGGATTTGCATCATTATATTCAACCAAATATCTAACTACTCCCTAGCTATTTCCAGCTTTTTCATTTTTTTGTTATTTAGCCTAGTAATGAAGTCAGCTTTGTCAGCAGTCACATACTGCTTTTGCTACTGTCATCTGTTACATTTCTCTGTGATGAAAATGACACAACCATGTCTCAGTGCTAACTGTTTGTCCATCTTTACAATGGGGTTGGGTTTTTTTTTGTTGGTTTGGTTTGGTTTGGTTTTTTTTTGGTTTTTTTTTTGTCCCCAGCCTTGTTGATAGCTAGGAAAGCAGTAAGTAGTTTAGATTGATCTTGGAGAGACTGTGATCTTTACATAACTTGCCATAATCTGAAATGTGGTGTGTGGTATTCACCTGTGTCCTGACACATATCATAGTGCTCTGGTCTCTCAGTGCTCAAAGGACTTAGGCATTCATGGTCTCCCAAACTGCCCAGTTCCTGATTGCTGTGCAGGGCATTTTTGTTCTCATATGTATAGTCCATATGAACTACTAAGTCTTTTTAGAGGTTTCTCAAGACTTTTTTCTCCCGAGCAGTTCTTAGCTTCACTGCTGTGTAACCCACTGGGATGTCTGCCTTGTAACAGTCATGCTCCCCAGTTTGCAATCTCTGAAACTCTTGTCTAGCTCAAGAGTTTGCTAAAATGACAACTAAAGCTTCCGCAACATCTGGCCAATACTCTTCTCTCAGCCTGGGATGACGGCTCTCTGATCTTGGTAACTAATCAATTTTAAGCACTGCTAACCTCTTAATACCAGTTTAGGTGATATCTGCACTCTGTTTAATTCCTTATCGCCCAGTGCTGTAAAACTGGATTTTTGATCTGGGCAAATGTTAGAACCTTTCAATTATAGAGATGGGTTCCTGTTAATAGTTAAATAATATCTCTTGTGTGTCGACATATATTTTGCTTATACTTATAGTTATTCAGAAAGCTTACTTTTGCCATGTATTTAGCTGCTGCATTGTATATACACTGCATTGTATATACACTACTCTATGCATTTATAAATTATATATACATAATTCATACAATAAATCGTAGTTTAATAAAACATTAGTTAAAATGTTAAAGATTAATGTGGAATAGTTATGGGTGAAAAGAATTTTCAGCCTAAATTTTCCCTTTCAGCAGGTTATACTTACTTAAAAAAACATACCTTTTAGGCTGAATTTTCTCATGGTTGCTTTTAGCCCAGAAGAAAAAAAGATCTGTTAAAGTTGAAGGAAATCTGTTAAACTGCTTTTGAATTATCCAGGCCTTAAAATTGCTGTTTTCTGTGCTTTGAGACTCTGAGAAAAATGGTCAGGTGAGAGGGGAAGGTTAGTTTGTAGTTCATCTTTTTGAGAACTAAATCCTCTTTTTGCACTCAGCAACTCTGATTCAAGCACATCTTTCAAGTGCATTCAAGTCTGCTGGTTTTTTAGATTTTAGGACTAGAAGAAATACTTGGTGACCTAAGCCAACTGAGAATATTTTATTTTGCTTTTGCACTGGTACTTTTTAAAGGCAATTTTGACATTCCTAGATTTAGAGTTCTTGCACTTTCATTTATTTCAGCAAATGCCATCAGGTCACCTGTTTTCTAAGGAAAGATATCCTGCTGAGAAAATTATTTACTTCTCTGGTTCAGTTCAGTTCTCCTTTCACTAATTAACCAGTGCTCTGAGAAACAGGAAGCAATTTTGAGGTGCTTTCCTCCAGATGACCTAAACATTTGTGATTCAAAAATAGTGTATGTCAAAAAGCTCCCCAGTACAAATGAACCTGAAGAGTGGTACACAAGTGGTAATTCATTTAGCCTTTACGTTAAGCTCATGCCCTGTGACGCATATTTGTGCTCTTACAGAGTCAAATAACAAACCACAAAGGCAGACATCCAAGATGAAAGTTACAGGTCTGCCTGGAAGTCAAGGGTATGTCTGAAAACTGATGCCTTCTGCTTATTTACAGAATAATTATTAAGGCACATTGTTCCATAGGAGTCTGGCCAATATGCCTCAGTCTCAAGATGCTCAAGATACAAAATAAGATTTTCAGTGACACACAGTTTTTGTATTTTTTTCCCTGAAGATAGTCTTTGACCAGTTGTACAAAATCCTAGTGAAATCAGAGACTAGGAACTTTTGGAGCCTAACATCTTGCTTACCAAAAGATATAGAAAAGAACACCATTTTTATGGTTTCAAGCATGTACTTT